ATATGTGTATAACTGCTCACTATATAGATCATTTTTGGAAGATTCATTTGTGATGTTATTTCTCAATATATTACTAGCATTAACATCTGCATTGTGTATAACTGCTCACTATATAGATCATTTTTCAAAAACAAATCATCAATTTCATTGAATTGGATCCTCCTCATGCTGGTACATTCATTTGTGATGTTATTTCTCATTGTTTATTAGATTGGAAGATACAAGATAAAGTATCTACAATCACCTTGGACAATGCTAGTAATAATAATGTTGCTGCTAGCTTGCTTCATTCTAATTTTATGGCAAGAGAGAAACTACATTTTAAGGGGCATTTTTTTCATGTTCGTTGATGTGCACATATTTTAAATATTATGGTGCAGGTTGGTTTAAAAGAGATTCAAGACATCATTTATAATATCAGAGAGGCTATCAAATATATAAAGAAATCGCCGGCAAGGTTGCATAAGTTCGTTGACATAGCCAAACAATTAGGGATATCAACATCAAAGGGTTTATGCATTGATGTTCCAACAAGATGGAACTCAACATTCTTCATGCTTGAATCTGCTCTTATTTTTTGTAATGTGTTTACTCACTTTGCTGATCGAGGCAATAATTTCAGTTGGTTGCCTTTGGATTTAGATTGGGAAAAATATGAAAAAATCAGAAAATTTCTTGCTGTTTTTAATAATGTGACAAAAATGATTTCAGGTTCTTCCTATCCCACTTCTAATATTTTTCTACCCGCTGTGATGCATATAAAGAAATTGTTGTTGGATGAGTCATCTTCTTCTAATGAGTTTAACAGAAATATGGCTTTAGCAATGAGAGGTAAATTTGATAAATATTGAGGTGAATGTAATCTCTTAATGTCTATCGCAGCTGTTTTAGACCCTCGCTTGAAAATTAAGTTTATACATTTTAGTTTTGCAAATACATATACATCTGTTGAGTCAGACTCTAAAATTCAACAAGTAGAAGATGTTTTGTGGGAAATTTACAATACTTACGCAAGTGATATTGCAAGTTCTAGTTCTACGAGTGACAATGTTTCATCAAAGTTGTCAAGTGATTCCGTTAATCCAGAAAGTTTTGATTGCATGCTCGCATTTACTGATTTTGTTGTTTCATCTGGTTCTATTCAACCATCAAAATTAGATCTACAGGTCTATCTAGAGGAGGGTCTTTACTTGTCAAATCAAAATGAGAAATTTGATATTCTAGAGTGGTGGAAGTTAAACACTCTCAAATATCCTTTCTTGTCCAAAATGACTAGAGATATACTATCAATCCCAATAACAACAGTTGCTTCGGAATCAGGATTTAGAACTGGTGGAAAAGTTCTTAGTGATTATAGAAGTTTGCTCTCGACAAATACGGTGAATGCATTAATAT